CAAAGTATAAAAACCCAGCTCTCTCTCTTATATTGATTTTTCCTGTTTTCTCTTATTCCAAATAACTTTTCCTATTATTGCAAATAACTTCTCTTTGGCCACTCTTTCTTCCTATAGATGGTTTACAATTAATTCCTTCACTCACTTGCAAAATGACTATTGATCATTAAGGTTCAGTAAGTCAAAACTACACTTTATATAAGAATGCTTCTGTCTGAAATTACATTTTGGGAAGTGACTTTTACTGAACCAACATATGTGCACCTAAATGTACCAGGAAATATAAAGAGTACAAAAATTTGCCAGACGCATTTATATTCTTACTTTTTTATGGTTAAGTGAGGGGATAACGTATAAGCATCAATGAACTCTCATCTAGAGTTCTTAGGATAGTTCTTGTCAAATGCACGAGAAGGAGACCTGTCTACTAGTTGGAGCCATTAAGGAAGATCTTATGGACAGGCAGCATTTCAACCTGATCAGGATTGGTGGAGATGGATATGGACAAAGGATGGGGATAGGAGGACACAAAGGCAGGAGTAAAGAGCACATGAGCATATGAAATTGGCTACTGGTCTGTTTTCTAGGTCTTCTATGGCTATGTATATACATAAGATATGATATACTGAGATATGAGAGAAGGAGAGTAATAAAGCAGTACAATTGGAACTGTGGACGGAATATAACCCCTTTATGGTGTTTGATCTTTGTTTTTTTTTTATTGACTAGGTAAGAATAAGATATTTCTCTGCCTCATTGCCACCAGTTACTTTGACAGGAATTGAGAAAGTTCCCTGTTTCCCTAGTCATTTTCTTGCGGTTTGTGGATTTCTCTTATATCAAAGACAAACCGGAACTACTACCTGAATTCAGTGTACTTAGATATTTGTGAACAGTAAATATCTACTATATAGTCAGAAACTGCCTCATAGTCTGTGAGGGACTTAAAGATGGATATGGCATAAGGACTATACACACACACACACACACACACACACACACACACACACACACACACACACTTTTTTTTTTGTCAGTCGTGGGGCTTGAACTCTGGGCTTGGGCACTGTCCCTGTGCTCTTCAGCTCAAGGCTAGCGCTCTACCACTTGAGCCA